AATTAAATTTGCATGATACTTAGCTAAAATGTAGAGAATTTTTTAGAAATGTCACTTTTCCAAAATGTCATCATTTTGAAATTTTTCTTTAAAATGCCACTAATCTTCTATATACTAATTGAATAGACAATTTGTGAAAAAATCATATGTATTATTCAGGGTTTTAAGGAATATATCATTTAAATAAACTAATGAAAACATTTTAATTAAAACTATATGTCATGGTGGAAATCTCTATATGTTTTTATTAATTTTATAACATAAACCCATTAATATATATTTTACGCTCAACTAAATGTAATATTTAGACTTAATATATCATCTATTTTTTTTTTAAATTGATATATTAAAAATTTTTTTATTATTATATTTCTAACAATATTATTTATTTGTAGATGATAACTACACTTATAAATATTTTTACATTTTATTATTAGAAAACATATATTTTTGGGGCAATTACAAAAATGCTATTTTTTGTGTGCACATTTGCAAGAATGCCACTTAGGGATGTCTATTTACAAAAATGTCACTAATTATAGATTTATAAAGCCTATATCTTAAAATTCTAAACCCTAAAAAATGTTTTGACACCTAAAATCCCCTAAACACTCAAAACTAAACCCTAATAGAACATAATTAACCTAAACATAAATAATATAAAGAAAAAATAATTTTGAAAAAGTGGCATTTTTGTAAAGTGGCACTTGAAAAGTGGCATTTTTTTAAATTTCTCTATATTTTTGTTTGTTACGTCCGACAAATTTATATAAATCTAAAATTTATTTGATTTATCGCATACTCTATAATTTTATACAAATAATAAAARTCAATTTGACACTTCAAATAAATTGAAATAAAAAACATTTGCATTAGTTTTAATATTTTTATGCAAAATTGATCAAAACATATGACATTAAAATATATTTTGTAAAAATTTAATTTTATTATATTTATCCACAATACATATCATTTTGTAAGTTTAGAAATATTAGAATACACGGCTAACTATTAAGATCGATTAGAAAATATATTTAAATATTTAATCCCACACTGTGTGTAGATCAAAATCTAGTGATACTTTAAAATTCAACCGGTACTAATTAAAATTAAAT